TAGCCAGCCCTGCAGGCTGGTGAAGGGAGCATGTGGGCTAGCCAAGGTCAGCCATGCCAGGTTATTTTTAATAAATGGAGGCTAAGGGGGTGGGGACCTGGCTGAAGGGAGGCCTTTGTCTCCACAAACTCACCACTGACACAGTGAGAACTCACTCACAGGCCAGGGAAGGCCACCGTCCACTGTGCGCGGAAACATGACAGCACTGCACTCAGGCCTCGGGAGAACAAGGTATCCAGGCCTCAGACCCCAGACACATCTTTCCTTCCTCTAAGGTGGCGGCCTTCAACCTCAGAGTCGTGCTCCCTCGGGGCTGTTGAATGACCCTTTCACAGGGGTCACCCAAGACCATCAGAAACCACAGAAATTCACATAACGATTCATAACAGTAGCAAAATTGCAGATGTAAAGCAGCAAGGGAATAAGTTTATGGTTGGGGTCACCACACCATGCGGAACTGTGTTAAAGGGTCGCAGCATTAGAAAGGTTGAGAACCGCTGCTCTAAGGTGTTTTCCAGGCTGCTTGCTCCTTAGCTGCCCCTCAGAGGACCAAGGCTGCCTGCAGGACTGAGGTGGGGAGGCCCGGGCTGATTTCATTAGTTTGGTTTGTGGGAGGATTTAGAATCAGTCTGAAATTGTTGTGAAAAAAAACTCAGGACTCTGTAGCAGTGAGGGAGGGTTGGGGGGTGCATGGACCCTCTTGTTTGTGTACCCATGGGGCTCCCTGCATCATCAGGCAGTGGAGTCCCCCCAAACCCCTGAAGGTCTTGAGGGGGGCTCTTGCTGCCTTCCCCGCTCCTGCCTTTCCCCTCTCCTGGCATTCCCCTGGCTGTTACAGGAATTGATTCTCTCATTCCACCATGTGAAACCCGAGGCTCAGACTCAGCCCTCAGACTTGGCAGTAACAGCCTTTGCCCTCTAAAGCATGTCGCCAGCCTTCCCCTTCGGCTTCTCGTGTTCTTACCGAAGGTCTATTGGGGTGCCCGTTGGGGGTGATCCACACGCTGAACAATAGTGGCTGTCCGGCTGTGACCCAGGGCACAGGCCCATCATGGTTCTTGTGGACTTGCTTGGTTGTTTTTCATTCCAGACTAATCCCTCTCCTCAGGCTGGCGCAGGCTTGGCTCCATCCGGGCTGCTTCAGTTTTGAATCGAGGCATCCTGCAGCCTTGTTGAGGGACTCAGCAGGCACACACTTCTGGCACTTGCCCAGAGCTGCGTGCCAGGCGTCTTACAGGGTCTGACAAGCCTCACTGAGTCTCTAAGGAATGAATTCCCATGATATTGGCCAGAGTGACCCCCACCCCCCATGTGCTCTTTGTCCGAGACTCCTGAGGGCTCTCCCTGGCAAAATGGAAGCTGGTGTGGCCTTTTTGGTGTTTGTTTGCCTTCAGCTTTATCGTTGTGGTGTATATGTGTGTGCACGGCGTGTGTCCCGCGGCTCATGTGTGGATGGAGGGCAGAAGAAAGCCATGTGCCGTCAGTTCTCTTTCTACTTCTCGCACGGGTTCTGGGATGGATTTCCCTCATGAGGCTTACACGGCAGATGCACTGATCCGCTGGACACTCTCACCAACCGGTTGGTTTTCATTTTTTTTTCTTTTTCTTTTTTTTTTTTATTTTATTTTGTTTTGTTTTTCCAAAACAGGGTTTCTCATGTAAGAGCCCTGGCTTTCCTGGAACTTACTCCATAGACCAGGCCAACCTCGAACTCAGATCCACCTGCTTCTGCCTTCCGAGTCCTGGGATTAAAGGTGTGCATGCCACCACCCAGCATTTTTTGCTTTTTTTTTTAAAGACAGGGTTTCTCTGTGTAGCCCTGGGTATCCTGGAACTTGCTCTGTAGACCAGGCTGGCCTCATAGTCTCAGAGATCTGCCTGCCTCTGCCTCCCAAATGCTGGGATTAAAGTTGTTTTTTAAGATGGGGGTCTCAGACTGGTTTCTAACTCACAAAGTAGAAGAAAATGACCTTAAACTTCTGATCCTCCCTCTATCACCTCCCAAATGCTGGAATTAGGTTTGTACCACCGTGTCTGGTGTATGAGGTGTTGAGGATTGAACCTAGGGTTTTGTGAGCACTAGGCAAGCACTCTGCCAAACAAACTACACCCCAGTCCCTACGTTGGTTAGTTGGTTGGTTTGGTTGGTTGGTTGTTTAGTTGGTTGCTTTGGTTTAATTTTGGTTTGAGACAGTCTCACTCTGTAGCACTGACTGGCCTCGAACTTGAAGCAATCCTCTGCCTCTGCCTCTGCTGAGATTGAAGGCAAGGGCCACCATGCCGAGTTTCAGTGTAAATTTATATCCTGACAGACAAGGATTAGAACTGGGGATGTACTTGATATTCAATGAATAATTATCAAATAAATGGGTTCTTTTCAAGACAGAGTTTCTCTGCATAGCCGTAATTGTCCTAGAACTCTCTCTGTAGACCAGGCTGGCCTCAAATTCACAGAAATCCTCCTGCTTCTGCCTCCAGAGTGCTGGGATTAAAGGTGTGAGCCACTACACTGGGCATAAATGTGTTTTTGTTCCCTTACTAAAAGCAAGGGTATACTGAAGCCAAGCCAGTTCTGAAAACAGATGTATCAGTTAGCTCTGCTGAATAACAAATAGTTAGAAATCTTAGCCAGGCTATGGTAGCCGGCTCCTTTAAACCCAACACCCAGGAAGCACAGGCAGGCAGATCTCTGTGAGTTCAAGGCCAGCTTGGTCTAACAAAGTGGGTTCCAGGACAGCTAGGGCTGTTACACAGAGAAACCCTGTCTAGACTCCCTCCCCCTAAAAATCTTAATGACATCCAATGTAAAAACGCAATGTCTACTCTACAGTACGTGAGCCAAGAACCAGGCTGGAGACTTAAAAACACATAAAGATACATGCACACTGACAGACAGAGACATAGGGGCACAGGTCATTCTTGATACAAGAATGCCCACTTTATTCTGCTCAGGGGCAGCTTATATAGGGCTTTGGCACCGCCCAGCTCTCAGGATCTTTCAGCTGCAGACTCAGAATCCACGCCCCTGCCATCAGGGTCTCGAGCTCAGAGCAGCTGCAGGCTGCTCAGAGTGGAGGAAAACAAGCTGTTTATAAGAAATTCAGGGTCTGGTGGTTCACAATCCCCCAACAATCCAGTAAGTACTTACTGCTGGCTGGACAGGACTCTCAGGGGCCTGAGTCTGAGCTGCTGTGAGCCAGGGTTGGCAGATGTCACCTCTGGGCAGCCTCCAGTGGGGTAACTGGGATGGCTTTGCACGATCCCAAGGTCTCTTGATCCAGCAGGATGGTAGCTTGGAGTAAAAGTGTAGGGACAGCTGGGGATGTGATTCAGCTGTAGAGTGTTTATTTACCTCATATGCAAGAAGCCTCAAGTTCAATCCCTAGCACTGCCTAAACCATGCCTGGTAGGACAAACCTGTAATCCTAGCACTCTAGAAACAGGATCAGGAGTTCAAGGTCATCCTTGGCTACTTAGTGAGTTCCAGGCCAGCCTGGGCTTCATGACACCCTTGTCTCCAAGGAAAACCAGAAAAGTGAGCTGAAACGCGCTGTCATGGCAAACCAGAACACCTGCCTTCCTCTGGGGCTCTTTATTCATTATTTATGTTATGTGCACATGTAACATGTGTGTGGGTACATACCTGTCATAGTAGGCATGTGGAGGTCAAAGAGCAGCCCACGGGGCTTGGTTCTCTCTACCATGAGGGTCCCAAGGATTGAACTCAGATCATCATGGTTGGCAGCAGCCACTGCTATCCACTGAGCCACCCACATGGTAGCTCACAACTGTCTATAACTCCTGCTCCAGGGAATGCAACACCCTCACACAGGCATACACGCAGGCAAGACGCCAATGTGCATAAAATACAAATAAATAAACTATTAATAAATAAATAAGCCTCTTAAAAGTGGCTATTCCTGGGCTGGGGGAGTTGGATTCATTCCCCAGCACCACATAAATCTGGATATGATGGCACATGCCTGCAATCTTAGTCCAGGTGGTGGACAGAGGAGGACCAGATGTTCACAGTCAGTCTCTTCATAGGGAATTCGAGGCCAGCTGGGATAATGTGACTCTGTCTCAAAAATAAGCCAACAAGGCCAGTAAGATGGCTCAGCATGTAAGGCTCTTACAGCCAAGCCTGATCCCAGAACTCATATGGCGCAGGGAGAGAAATGACCCCTGACACTTGTCCTCTGACCTGCACAGTGGCACTGTTCCATGTGTCCACACCTGTACACATACGCGCGTTCACACATATGAAGTAGGAAGTTCTTCTGCTCAGTGCGGGAGGCGCCGTTCTCTGGTTGGATCCTGGACGGTATAAATAGAGGCCGGAGGAGCTGGGACGATTCATCCTTCTGCTTCCTGATTGTGGATGAGATGTGAATAACTGCTTCAAGACCGTGCTGCGGGCTGGAGAGGTGGCTCTGTGGTTAAGAGCACGGCCTACACTTCTATACGTGTGCGTGTGTGTGTGTGTGTGTGTGTGCGCACGCACACGTGTGCATGGACACTGATTCAAATATGTTACTGCCTACAAGCTGAGCTAGTTGGACTAATTAGTGACCCGGTGACCTCCATTTCTCTCTACGAAACAGGAATGATTTTTGTCCACCTGGAAGAGTTCTTAAATGCTTTAAATGGATCATATATGCCACACGTCAATCAATAATAACTTGCTGTCCACTGATTAGGACAATAGATGAGTTGTCTAAGTTGTCTAAGTTCCTATCTTTGCCATCTGAAACAGCTGTGTATTAGTTTTAGCTAATACATAAGCCCTGGCTCCCCCTGAATGTCTTTTTAAAGCCTGTGTTACATGAAAGCAAATTCTTTCAACCTCCCGGCCAGTTTGTGTGGCAATAACCTAGACTGTAGCAGTGTATCAGTTCAGGCTTGACGCAGGGACAGCCCAGCTGGTTTCCTGTGTGTCCCCCTACTCCCGGGTGCCTGTCTTGGGCAGAAGTGTGCTAACATTTCCACGTCTGCCACAGGTCACCCTGCTGATTGCCTTCATCTGTGTGCGAAGCTCCCGTCGGGTCGACTATGGCGCCTACAGCTTCTTTGAAGTTGTCACCATCTGCGACCTGATAATGATTCTCGTCTTTTACCTGGTCCACCTCTTCCGCTTCTACCGTGTGCTTACCTGCATCAGCTGGCCCCTGTCGGTAAGAGGGAGACCTGGCCCCAGTGTCAGCACAATGGAGTTGGGACACGGGTTGGGACACAGCTGCTTGGATCCCGACTCTTCAGTGCTTAGTGGACATCTCTGCTGGCCTCCTGTGGGTCCCTCAAGCTCACATCCCAGCATTAGAAGTCTAATGCTAGAAGTCCGTGGCTCCTTTGGCATTTATCTGTTGTGTGTGGCCTGTAGGACAAGCCTTGAAGGAGAGAGCTGATAAGGGTGTGCACACTGCCGAGAGAGCCAAATGGTGACACTTGGTGGCAGAGACTGAGAAAGTAAACCAGAAGGATCTGCTTTGAAGACAGTGTCTTACTATGTAGGCCAGGCTGGTTTGAAACTCGCAGAGATCCTCCTGTCTCTGCCTCCCGAGTTAAAAGTATGTGCTTGGAGGGCAGGTGTCATGACTTTTCCTATGATCTCTGAAGGGAAGCATTGTATCTTTCATGTTGACGTGAAGCTAGATATGAATTTTTATAGTTATCTATCATCAGACAGAGACCCTAATCTGTTGAGTTGTTTTTTTGTTTGTTTGTTTGTTTTGTTTTGTTTTGTTTTTGGGGTTTTGTGTTAGACGTTGTTGCTTTTTGTTTTTAGGGTTTTTTTGAGGGCATTTATTACTGTCATAGTTCATTCTGTTCTGTTTCAGTTTGCTTAATGCTGGATTAAATGTAGCACCGTAGGAAAAGGCCTACAAAATGATCTCAGGAACTGGGCAGTTCTTGGTGACTGGCTCTGCTCACCAGAGATTGTGTCTCTTGCTTGCCCAGTATCCTTTCTCTCCAGTGTGGCTCTTCCGGGCCCAGCGCTCTACACCGGTCGCCTGAGCATCATGCCCTCCTTCTGTCCTAAGTGTTCCAAGGGAGAGACCGTAGCTCTCCCGTCTCCCTGCCCCGGGAGTGAGCTCTCCCATCTCCCTGCCCCGGGAGTGAGCTCTCCTGTCTCCCTGCCCCGGAGTGAGCACACCCGTCTGTCTCCCTGCCCCGGAGTGAGCTCTCCACTCATACCTTTCTTTCTTCTGCCCGGCTTCCAGGAGCTTCTGCACTATGTCATCGGCACCCTGCTTCTTCTCATCGCCTCCATCGTGGCAGCCTCCAAGAGCTACAACCAGAGTGGCCTGGTAGCGGGCGCGGTGAGATGCTTTCTACAACCAGTTCCGATTTTAGCTCCTTTCCTCCTAATCGTGGCCAGGGAAGGGGTTGATTTGGGGGGCCTTCCTTCTTCAAACCCACACCTACCTCAATCCAGCCAGCTACCCTCTCCAAAGAGCCTGCCATTTGGGCTCATTTCAGAGGGTCTGGGAAGTAGACTGAAGGACTGTTGACAACCTTATACAGCTCAGGAGTAGCTGGCCCACTCTTTACATCCTATCTCTGGGCCTATCTCCCTTACAGCCACTGCTTACATCAGAGCAAAAGGGTCTCAATCCCCATGCCAACTCTGAGCATATGCTCACGGCAGAGTATTTGGGCATCTCTTTTGCTTCAAAAGGGAAGGGTACTGCAATGAACTAATGATGTCTGCCATGAGTCTTTTGTCTCTTTTCTTTTGGGTCTCACTGGGTAGTCCAGGCAGGCCTGGAACAGGCTGTTTAGCCCAGGCAGCCTGGAATGCACTGCTTAGCCCAGGCTGACCTAAAATACATTGCTTAGCCCAGGGCGGCCTTAGACTTACAGAGTTCCTCCTGCAACTGCATCCCTCTGTTTCCTCCTGAGTACTGGGGTTGTAGGCATGCACCACCCTGCTCAGATCCTTAAAAGAAATGTGTGTGTATGTATGTATGTATGTGAACTTAAATTCATTATGTAGGTGAGGATAACCTTGAACTTCTGATCCTGCTGCCTCCACCTCCCCCCGTTCTGGGATTATGGGGTGCTCCACCCATACCCTAGACTGCCTGCATGCTAGGTAGGCGGTCTACTAGCTGAGCTTCTTCCCAGTCCCCATTTTAGTTTCAACAGTATTCAGGCCCAGAAGGGGCTCCTTATCCCTTGCAGAGATTAAAATGAGCTGTCCATTAGCCATGTCCAGCTAGCTAGACTGTACAGAATACAGCCACATGGGACATACATGAGCAGACGAACGTGTAGACACATATGGAAGTATGGGGAAACATCCGTAGATTCTTGTGATCTGATTTGTGATTTCGCCAACTTCATATCTGAGTGGCCTTTATAGTCTAGTACCCAGGCAAGAAAAATTTTTGTGTTTGTTTTAAGACTTGGTCTCTTGTAGCCCAGGCTGACCTCTAACTTAAGAAGTAGCCAAGGATGACCTTCAACCTGAGATTCTCCTGACTCCAGCCCTGGAGTGCGAGGATCTAAGGTGTGCAACACCACACCTGGTGTGTGTGGTGCTGAGGATGGAGCCGAGGACTTGGTGCCTACTGGCAAGCACTCTACCACCTGAGCTAAGACTTTTAAAATGAGTTTCAGGGTCTGTGCAAATTTCTCTTACAAATACCACCAGACTTCTCCAGACCATGGTCTGTCAGCCCGTTTGCTGCTGGAGTTTGCCTCAGATAGCCTCTCTGCTCAGGGTCACACAGCGGGGACCAAACATGACTGCAGAGGGGTGGCCAAGTCCGTAAACAGTGCTGCCCCAATGCACCTTCAACAGTGCACCTCATGTTCCATGTGACCTCTGAGCAGATAGGTGGCTGCCCCCTGCAGGTTGGTACACGCTGTGGGAAGAGTCCAGGAATCCACCCCGCCCCAGCCGTCACCACACACCTTGTGCTTCAGGGCACACACGGAGAGAGAGATTCCCACTGGGTTGTATAATCAGGTCACACATAAACTGTGTCAACCCATGGTCTCTCAGCCCCAGTAGCTAACATTTATCACACCACAGGGAAGCCAGGAAAAAAAATAAATAAATTAAACAAAATGAGGTCCCTGCTCATGAGAAAGTAGCCCTCTAGCATAGGCGAGGAGGACAGGGCCCATGTGACAATTAGCAGACAAACAAGGCACTGTGGTGTAGACCAGCATTCTGCAGGGATGGGATAATAGACTGTTCGATTATACAGTGCAGACAGTTGGGGACTGGGGTAATGATGTGCTAATTATGCAGAATAGACAATGGGAGGCAAGGGCTGGCTCTAGTCGGCTAATTATGTGGCTCGGACAATCCGTACAAAGAGAGCCAAGGAGAAGGCTTCTGGGCATGGGCTGCTGGGGACAACCGGGTCCCTAAACCAGTGAGCTGGGCCCGGAAAGAGCACCAGCCATTTTTGGAAATCTACCCTTTGTTTGTCTGCTCCTGGAGCGCACCTGTCCAGTGTCAGCTGCTGACCAGCGTCAGCACCTGTGGGAGCATGGGTCTGCGGACACCTGGGCCACAGGCGAGCAGAGTGTGAGTCCTGGAGCCCACTGCCCAGGGTCAGACTCTGCACCTGGCATGCTCTGGGGTCTTAAGCAATGGAGCCGTGAAATAAACGGGAAGGGCAGGGGTGGAGCGCCAGCCTCACCTTGGGGGATTGTAGGTTCAGAGTCAACTACCTGAAGGCTAAGAAACCTGGCAGATGTGGAGCTACTCCTTGGTGGCTACTGGAGAGTGTCACAAGGAGGGGACCTGGCCACCAGCCTCATGGCTCCCAAGACACCAGGGCCATGATTATTCGCCCTCAACCACCTTTGAGAAACCTACTAGGTCAAGTTCAACCCTCCTCAAACCCAGCACTAGATGGACCCCAGAATGGGTAGGAGCCCGGCCCCACCTTACTCTACTGTTAATATTTAAATATGTGTAGACATAAGGCCTCAGTTTAAGCTGGCTGAGACCAGAGGCCGGTACCATTGAAACTCAATGATGCTAGCCATATAAGCTTCTGGACCGTTCCAATTTTTAAGTCCAAATTCAAATCGACAATACCCCCCTCTCTCTTTACTGGTTCTGGATCATCAAGGTCCAGCGGCTTAGCCCCAAGTAGGTTGTGAATATAAACCCAAACCAGCGCCTTAGATTTACCTAAAGTAATAAGGACAAGGCCAGAGACCCAGAGACTCCTGGCCAGGGGACCAGAAGCCTGAGGCTGGATCTTTTTGAACATCCCCTCAGCAACTGAGTGGGGAGTAAGTGGCTAGGTCAGCCGGCTTCCCAGCTTCCTTCCTGGCACACAGAGGAAAATCAGAGTGATGGCCCCGTGACTGTGAGCTTCTTTTGCTCTCCCACTGTAGATCTTTGGGTTCCTGGCCAGCTTCCTCTGCCTGGCAAGCTTGTGGCTGTCTTACAAGATCACCTGCATAACCCAGTCAACAGGTAAGCTCCTGTCTTCAGGACGCAGGGCACACGGGGAGGGAGGTTCACCCTTGGTTCAGTAATAGGGAATGTCTTGGTACCAAGGGCCAAAGTAGAGTTAGAGGGCAAGGCACAAAAGGAAGAAGGAACCTAAGAACCCTGCCTGCCTTCCTACCCTTCTCTACACACCCAGGGAGACATCCTGGGACACTCTGGGTATGACAAAGTATGTGCTTGAACTCCTGATTCTTTTGCCTCTGCCTCCCAAGTGCTGGGATTATCCAAGCATGTCTTACAATGAGCTTCCTGGAACAATAACAAGACTCAGAACTCTTACAAAATATAGGTGTAGTTTTCATTGTTTTGCTTTTCTTCTTAAACAAATCTCATGATGAAGCCCAGGGTAGGTTTGAACTTGCAACCTTCCTGTTTCAGCCTCTAAAGCAATAGGACTGCAGGTGTGTGACACCAAGCACAGAACTCAGAAGCAGTGCCTGGTCTCTTCCCAACATCTCCTCTCTCTCTGAAAAAAAAAAAAAACTTGCAAATGTGCTTAGATAAAGAGAACCAGGGAAGGGCATGGTGGTGCACAAGTTTAATCCCAGCATTGGGAAGCAGAGGTCATCATGCAGCCTGGTCTCTGTGGCTTGTGCCAGGCCAAGGTCACATAGTGAGACCCTATCTCAAACACGAAACCTCATCTGCCCTTTCTCCCCACTACTTCATCTTGTGCCAGACATTGTCCTGGTATCATTAGGAATCCTCAATCTTATTTTATTTTTTTCATTGATGGGGTCACTCACCCTTTTTCCTACTCAGTTTTAGGTTTTGGTTTTAATGTTTTTGTTACTAAATGCTGCTATAGTGAATGCCCTCACACATGAACCCTGATACCCATCCTTGATGGGTTTTATCCTTAAGTTCTTTGGAGGCTTGGGTGAGGATTAGCCGGCGTCTACCCGTGTTGCCTAGACTTGTTTTGAACTTTTGGCAGTCCTCTTGCCTCAGTTTCTCCAGTGCTAGGTTGCAGACAGTTGTGAGCCACCTGGCATGGGTGCTGGGAATGTAACTTTGGTACTCTACAGGGGCAGCAAATGTTCTTCCTGGCAAGTCACCTCTCTGCTCCCCTCTGTTTTTCCTTTTTAAAAACATATTTAGAGGGCTGGGGTTCCGGCAGCAAAACGCTTGCTATCCAGATCCCTAGTGCTCATTTAAAAAGGCGAATATGGTGGCAGACATCTGTAAGCCCAGCACCGAGATGGAGGCCGGCAGATGCCAGCAGCTAACGGGACAGACACCCTAACCCTAGACAGGGAGTGCTAGGTTCAGCAAGACACCATGTTTCAAAAAATAAGGCGCAGAGCAAGAGGAAGACGCCTGACCTCGATCTTCCTCTCTTCCCCTCCCCTGCATGCACGCATGCACGCACGCACGCACGCACGCACACACGCACGCACACATTCTATTTGAAGCTTGGACAAGTGGAGCAGAAGCCCATGGTTTCGGGATGAGGTCTGTTCCTAGCAAGATGACCTAACTTTCCATTTCTTTCTCAAGATGCATCTGCCTGACAAGGCCATCACCTCCGGTCCCCTCAAAAGGACCTGCAGGATGTATGTGCTCACCCTAGGAGGACCCCAGACATGGCTACGGACTGCTCAGATGACAAGGCCAGTACCTTCCCTGGCTTTGCCAGGACACTGGGCTCCTGAGCATCAAGCAGCTACAGCCGCCTTCGAGTCTGCCACAGAGAACATTTCTCCACTCTGGGCTCCTAGCACCACTCAGGTACCAAGGAAGGACTGCGCTGAGCCTAACAGAGACTTCTGGATCCGCCTGCGTAGACGCGCCTTTTTTCATAGCCCTCAGGACCGAGACCTCCCAGAGTCCTCACAGAAGCATTGGACCCTAATTTATCTGGCCTGTCAATCTGGTCTTCAAGAGCCTCTGTTCTAAGTGAGAAGCCAGCAGAAACACTATGTGGCCGCCCCGTTTCTCCGGTCCCTATCTCTGCCTTTGCCACCGTGTGTGGGGGGGAGGGGGGTGGTTTTTAATAAAACATCAGTCAACCATAGCAAGATCTGTTACTGAATGAGATGCCTATAACACCAGGCTTTTCTATGTCAGTCAGTGTCTATTACGCATTCAACCCCCGTGCTCAGTATGAGCTCCATGCTAAATGCCCTATCTCCCCCTTCTCCCTCCGAGGCTGGCTTCAAACTAAACCGTAGCTGAGGATGACCTTGAACACCTGATCCTCTTGCCTCTACCTCCCCAGTGCTGAGATTACAGCTGTGTGCCAGGATACCCAGCTTTATGTGGTGCTGGGGATGGAACCCAGGGCTCCGTGCACATTCAGCAACCACATTACTAACTGAGTTACATGCCCAGCCACACACACCCTGTCCATTTTTGGCAAAATTTTACATAGTTTTGGCTTTGAACTTGCTTTGCGGGCAAAGGTGACCTTTGAACTCCTGATGCTCCAGTCTCCGTCTCCCGAGCACTGGATCCTCGCTGTGCACCACTGCGTCCAGCTTTGACTTTCGCTTCCTGCACCTTAAATTCTCTTCTAGTTAGGATGTGGGGTCTGGTGTCACTTTCAGGAATACACTGGGACCGCGCGAACACAGGACAGAATCCTTATATGGGGATGCTGGGCAGTGGTGGCACACGCCTTTGATCCCAACACTCAGGAGGCAGAGGTAGTCGGACCTCTGTGAGTTTGAGTCCAGCCTGGTCTACAGAGTTCTAGGACAGCCAGGGCTATGCAAAGAAACCCTGTGTCAAAAAGTCTGATGAGTTATCGGGAAGCATCCATTGCATGTGGCAGGGCCACCGATGGAAGCTGAGAGGAGTTGGTAGTGACAGGGTAGGCTGAGTAGGTTGTAGTGGCCACTGTGCTGTGGGCCGGCAGGCTAATGCAGAGGGACAACACTGGAACCCAGCCCTTGATCCACCAAGGTGCCCTGGGTGCACTAACCAACTCCATCCAAGAAAGCAGAGATGTGTCACAAGGGAAGAATCTTCTAAACCTTGTCCAGAAGGTGACATGGCTGTGCAGGCACAGGGGCTGCTCAGAATGTGGGAACCCATGCCCCGGGCACCCCGACACCAAGCTATTCTCTTCTGCATCTAGGAAGCACGGCTGGGCTGGAAGAGCTTTTTCTGGGTACGGGTCTAAGGAGGCCATCACCAGGGGAGGAGGAGCTGAGGGTGTGGTCAAGCAGCAGCTTTCTGAAGTGGTCTGTTGGCCATCACGGGATCCCAGGCTACCTCCCTACATCCGCAGCCCACACCTGTAATCCCAGCACTGAGGAGGGTAGAGGCAGGAGGATCACAATCAAGGTTATCACTGCCTATCAAGTGAGCTCCCGCCTCAATTTAAAAGATAAACAAACAAAATACAAAAATAACAAAATAACAGAGCAACAAAACAAGAGGCAGGAGAGGTGGCACATGGCTCTAATCTCAGAATTTGTGAGGCAGAGGTGGGGGGGGGGGGGGATCTCTGAGTTCAAGGCCAGCCTGGTCTACACAGCGCTTCCAGCAGAACTGTGGCTACAAAACAATAAACAAAGAAAGCATTCCCCTGTCTCCTTTTGGTTCACTGTCAAACTACTGCCTAGCCCACAGCTGGGTAGGGCCAAGTGTTCATATAAGAGGGGAAAGGAAAGAAAGTGGGGTTCACAGGGGAGAGTAGGGAAGCTGCAGCCTGCCCAGTCTTTCCCAGCAGCCCCAGGGTCCAGAAGATGAAGTCATCGCTGGGCTGCCTCTATCCTCCACTGTAGTCAGCAGCCTCTAGGCCTGACTGGGCCCTGGAAGGGGAAATAAAGTAGGGAGAGGCTGTCGATGGCGAGCCTCTGCTACAGATAGGAGTTCTGTGCTGCTCAGAAAGTTCTGGAAACTGGTCGTCTTTGAGACCCTTCAAGGAAGGCGCCAACCCTGGACAGACTAGCAGTAAGGCCTGCAGAGCCCAGGAAGGAAGCCAGGATATGGGATTAACAACAGTGTTGGAACTTGACACCAAGCTTGGCTGTGTCCTGAGCCCAGACGGGACAGCAGAGTCTATCCGCTTCTTCATGAGCAGTTGGCCAAAGGTGGGAAACAGAGCCCCAGAGTCTGCTCACACTGGAGGCCCAAGGCAGGTCATTAGGGCCCTGCTCAACACTACCACCCTCCTCTTCTGGTGGCTGAGTCATGTCCTGTTAACCTGAAGGGCACTGCAGGGCTGTAGACATGTGGGGCATGTATGAAGTATGTGTTACCTAGGACTATAGAGACAGCTCAGTGCTTCAGAGCACTGACTGCTCTTGCAGAAGACCTGGTTCCATTCCCAGCATGCTCATGGTGGCTCCCGTTTCTTCCAGGGAATCCGATGCCTTCCTCTGGCCTCATTAGACACTGCATGAATATGGTACAGACAAACATGCAGGCAAACACTCACACATAAAATAAAAGTAAATTTAACCAAAGAAAAAGGTGGTATTATCACCTTACAGTTCACATAGGCCAGCCACTGGTAGCAAACACCGATGGTGCAAACTTCTTCATGGGCATCCCTCCCTCTCCAGGCTTTGAGGGATGCTGGCCTCCATGTACCATCGCGACACACGACTGTGGAAATCCTCCGCTCCTTCCCAGGCGCCTATAGACCAACCCAGCACAGATACACATCTGCAGCCCCTCCCTGCACAAGACAGCTCCTCAGGCAGAGCCCTGCGCTTTCCTCTTCTCTTTTTCTATTGAGATAGGGCCTCTATAGCCCAGGCTAGCCCGGAACTCCATATACACCCAAGGATGCCCTTGAACTGCTGATCTTCCTGCCTCCGTGTTCCAGATGCTGGGGTTACAAGTGTGAACCACATCTCCCTCTGTTCTCATCAACCAGCAAAAAACACTGTGCATGAACGAGACATGGTGGCGCATGCCTATAATCCTAGTAAGGCGGAAGTGGAGGCAGCAGGATCAGGAGTTCAATCAATGTCAGGTGGGGATAGGTGCACCCTTAGCAAAAACAAAAGCCAAGGTAGGCAGATGTGCTGTAACTCCTACACTCAGGATGCTGAAGCAGGAATGAGAAGTTTGAGGCCAGCATGAGCTACGTAGTGAGAAAATAAAGAATGAAAAGGTAAAAAAAAAAAAATTAAACATTTTTTCAAGATTGAAAGCCTACAGGATGAAAGATTGTTGCTAGACTTACACTGAGCACCAGGTGGACGGCAAGGATGGCCACCAGAAAATACTCACTGCCTCCTGGGAAGCTGGGTCAACCGGTGGGTTCCTTCCTATAGGTCTAGAAAAACTAGACTAATTAAAACTAGCAAAAATTAAAAATACTCTCCACATACACTTACACACAAAAAAAGGAACCAGAGGAGGAGCGCTGTCTGAATTAGTCAAGGTTCTCTAAGCCCCGGCAGACCCTGCCTGCTGGACGCTTTGCTCTGGGGGTGGCAGCTGGCCCAGGGCTGCCACCTGCCAGTTGTTCACTGCTGCCAGCTGCCCCAGTGACCCAGAAAATTGGAAATCTGGGCTTTCTAGCTAAGCATCTCCCGATTTGGAAACATTGCCAAAGAAACCATCTAGAAATACAGCTGAGACCAAACAAAACCTGTCTGGGGACAGATGCTGCCGGCTCGTCCACCGGCAAGTGATTGCGCAGGAGTCCAGGCAGTTCAGGAGTAAAGTGGGGGAAGACAGGTCAAGGCCCGCAGGGCTGCCAGCTGTTTCCTCTCGCAGCCGCGCAGGGTGGAGGCCTCCCGTGGGACCCCGTGTCCCCTGCCGCAACTGTGCATGTTTGCAGTAGCCTCTCCTCCCAGCAGCACTCTGCATCCCAGTTGCAGAAACGAAACTCCACCGGGGTGGTGGAAGCCAAGGCCTTGGGCCCACTCGTGCAGCGCGCGCCCCCTGGCGGCCATAGGAACGCACTGCCGCCCTGGCCCGCCCGAGGAGTGGCCGAGGTTCAGATGTAAAGCATTCTTATGGATCAGTCATAGTTCTCAGGTACTGGGGTTTTAGATGATACAGCGGAGCTGACAGCCACAATTAGCCATCACATTCTGCCTCACACCCATCTTTCCCTTCCCTCCATCCCATCCAGAACCAATCACCACACAGTTGCTTTTCGTTTGTTTTTTATTTATTGTTTTTATTACCCTGTACATTCTTCTCTGCTCCCACAGCTGTTTTTCTTACGCTGGTTCCACCGTGGCTGTATTGCACTCTGAAAGTGCGTGAGCCGTGAGTTCATTTGTCAGCGGGGACCCCACTGTGCAACCCTTGGTGACCTTATTCACCTGTCATTACACAACATACATTTTTTTTCATCCTACTAGCCTGACACCACACACCTTCTCTCCCACACACTTAATGTTTTTTTAAAGATAGGGTCTCAGCCGGCAGGTGGATCTCTGTGAGTTTGAGAGCAGCCTGGTCTACATAGTGATTCCCAGTATAGCCAGAGCTATAGAAACCCTGTCTCGAGAAAAAAGATAGGGTCTCACTACAGGGTGAGGCCGTCCTGGAACTCTTTATGTCACTGGATGCTCGTCTTGAACTCTTAATGATCCTCCTGTCTCAACCCTTCAGATTCTGGGATTTTAAGTGTACAGTACCAGCTGGGGGCTCCTTCTCCCATCTCTTAGTTTTAAAAGATTTTTTTTATTTTATGTATATGAGTGTTTTGCTTGCATATATGTGTGTGGACATGCATGCATGGTGCCTGCAGGGGCCAGAACAGGAAGTTAAATGGCCTGGAACTAGAGTGATAGGCAATTGTGAACGTAGGTGATGGCATGTGTGTCACCCCATCTCTGGGGAGGTGGAGGCAGGAGAATGAAGTTAATTCTGCTATTTAATGTGCTCACTCCAGGCTAGCCTGGGATACATGAGACCCTGCCTCAAAGAAAGAAAGAGAGAGAGAGAGAGAGAGAGAGAGATGGATCAATGGTTAAGAGCACTGGCTGCTCTTCCAGAGGTCCTGAGTTCAATTCCCAGCACCTACATGGTGGCTCACGACCATCTATAGTAGAATCTGTTGCTTTCTTCTGGCATAAAGTCAATAGAGTACTCATATAAATAAAATAAATAAATCTTTTTTAAAAATTTATGATGCACATTACTGGTAGAATTGTAATTTAGCCTAAAAAAATAATGGACCTCTTAGAGCGGTCAGTACTACAAATGCGTGCTCACACACATGCATAAGTGTGCAGTTCACATGTATGAGCATGCATATATGCACACGGGTATGGGTGTACAGACCAGAGGACACCAGCGTTCCTTAGGACGCGTCCACCTTTTCTCTTCGCCCTGGATATCACCATGCAGGCTACACGGGTCAGAAGCCCCAGCCCTTAACACGTGCTTTATAAACTGGGGGTCCGGTTTCTCATCAGTGCACCCCCCCCCCCACACTCTAACATGATCCTCCCTCCCTCTGCTAGCAGGACGATTTTGGCAGCTAAGCTTTGAAGGCAATATTTTCACACCATGCTGGGGGCGGTATGTTAATGCAGTCACAATGCATTCATCATGGCCACCATAACCTTGATTCATCAGTGACGTGACTCAGGCCCACTGAGGGCTCAAGGGAAAGGAACATCTGGAGGCAGAAGCATCAACAACCCCTTCTCACCTTTGGATAGTTCTTACGTGGGTGGTGTCTAGGTCGCCACATAAAGACCCAACTCTGGGGACAAAACTCACAGCAGAAACTGGATGGGCAGAAAACCCAGGGCACAAGTTAGGCTGGGACGATATTATGAAGCCACTGCATTTCCCAGGCTGGCTTCTGACCCCTGGGCCCAAGTGATCCCCTGCCTCAGCCTCACACATGCGCGGACTACAGACACAGGCCACCGGGCATGGTACCTTCCCCAGACCTACCCTGAAGTAAGTTTCCCTGACTGTCGGGGACGCAGCAATGGGCTTTCTGCTCTTTGCCGCTGGCTCCATATTGATACAGTGTTATTTATCCACACAGAACAAAGAAGCCTGAAGAATGTACAAATTCCAGTGAGTTCCTGAGGACTATAAAGATCCTGTTATTCTCAAGGGACTGGAGGCAGGCATTCTACAGACTCCACAGATAGTTTCGGGCTCAGCAGAATCTCCCGGTTCTGCTTCACACTTTCTGGTTACCAGCTGTCCCAAACAGATACATCTATCTGTCTAGAGCACCGGAGTCACATCTAGAATGTGAAACAGAGTCCAAACTTGCTTCTTTCAGATTACTTAGGTGGAGTAGCACACATCTATAATACCAGAATTTGGGAAGTGAAGACAGAAGGGTCAGGAGTTCAAAGTCACTCTCATCTGCATAGTGGGTTTGAAGCCAGCTGGGCTACATGAGACCCTATCTCAAAAAACAACAATAACAACAAGAAACCAAAACCAAACCAAAACAAAACAAAAAGAAAAGAGAGGGGAAGGGAATAGAAAGGAGAAAGAGGAGGCAAAAAGAATTTAAAGCCATTCAGTCATCCCATGTATATTTTTATTTTCATTTGTTTATTAGGCTCACTTGGAACTCACCACGTAACCCACATTGGCCTTGAACTTAAAGAGATCTCCACCACAGCTGGTCCTAAGAACATTTTCACTGCCCTGTAGGCCAGGTTAGCCTGAAGTTGGTGATCCTCTTGCCTCAACCCCAAGTGCTGGTGCTAGAGGCCCCCCATGCTGGCCCGGCCGACAAACATGCTGTTTGAATATGCCCACCACCTCTCTCGAGGGTGGCCCACGGATAGGGAGCAGGTTTGTTCCTCCAGACTCTACCAACCACACACCCACAGGGGACGGCTAACCCCTCAAATAAAGGCTTATAAACAAGCATATGCACCGAACAACTGTGAAGGAATCAGCACTGAAATTAAAAGGATTTATTTTAAAAGATTATAAAAGTTGATATTAATAGTGATAAAAAAGACCCACAGGCTTAAATCAACAAATACAAAAGTGATTGGATATAAGTAATATAAAAATACATTTCCTGGTCCCCACATAAAGCATAATTTAAGTATAGTAATTATAAAAGTCTTGTGCTGTAAGTATATTTCCCCTCTAAGTCTTAAAAACCATTCCAAACAATTTGTATAAAATAGAGCAAATCAAATTTGCCACAGCTGTTAATGAAGATATCTTTTCTGCCTGGTGACCTCTGGTCCCTCAGCCACAGTCTTTAACCCCATCTCCCCCCAGGGAAGGCAGAAGCCAACCAGTCACAGGTCCCCCAAAAGAGAAAGTTCCAAGAGTGACAACAGATACAAGTGACCAAATTATCTTAAAAGGAAAAAAAGGAGTAGCCGAGGAAGCCCTCAGCCGTGGCACAAAGCAAACCCATGGTAAACAACTGGATGCTAAATTGCTACATGTGTGGAGCCAGGCCAGAGTGCCTGTCTGTCCCTCCTGAAGAAGCCAAACACGGGCAGAGAGGGGCACTGATGAGGTGAGCTGTCCCCAGGGCCTGGGGATCAGAGGCCAGTTCTCCGGGATGGCACTGTCGAAAGGTGTCAGAAATCTTTAGGGGTGGGGCCTACTGTGAGGTCCTGGGTCAGTGGGGGCATACCCCAAAGGGAACACAGGATCACAAGACACACTCACTCTTTCCTTGCTTTCTGTATGCTCTACCACAAACCCCCACCATGATACGCTGCCGTCTAAGACAACAGACTGACCCCGGGCTGAAGCCTACAAAACCACAAACCAAGATAACTCTCCTTTTTCTTTTTTTTTTTTTTTAACTTTTAGTATTTACTTTAATTTATGTATGTATATGTGGATGTATGCCATGCATGTCTGGGTGCCAGAGACCAAAGACACTGGATCCCCTGGCAGTATCAGGCACTCATGAGCCATCCCATGTGAGTGCTGGAGAGAACTCCTGTCCTCTGCAGAGAAGTAAGAAGCACTCTTAACCTCTGAGCCATCTCTCTCCAACCCCAAGACTTCCTTTTAAGTTGACTGTCTCAGGTATTTTGTTACAGTAGCAGACAGCTGACTAACAGTCTGTAACACTAAGGCTGCCTTGATTTGCTGTTAGTTCTCCGTAGGTCTGGACGGTATAACCTGATGTGAAACTCTAAAACTGTCTGCTATAAACTGGTTTCTTTAGAATTATTCTATTCTTGGTTTCAAGAGCCTACTTTCCCTTCCCTTAGATGGCAGGTCAACATCCATGATTGGTTTCATGATCAATAAGGTATGATGCCAGCAGATCAGGCAGCGAGTAAGAGAGAGCAGAAGCTGTGTGCTGGGATAAATCCCCGTCTGAGAACTACAACTGTACTCTTGTAACCAAATCATCTAACACACACAGTGGCAGACCAAAAAGGAGGGGAACTTTACAGTAAATCCCTGGAAACATGATCACATGTCTTCAGGGAGAAACCCCAGCCTAGGAAACCTCCACCAGGGCACAGAAAGCCTTGACATACTGAGTCTCAGTCAAACCCCAGAAGGAAGATAAGAAAGGTCCCTTTTGGCTCTAAGATACCCCTACAGCAACAAGCAATCCTTCCAAAGTGTCAGGAGCAGTCTGTGGCTTACAACATCACCAACAGTATTCACCAGCAGGGGTTCTAGGATTTGCTCCCTCAAGACACCCCTCCACCAGCCCCAGAGGGAAACTCAAGCAGAGGCCTGTGGGAACAAGAACCTGACTTTCCTACCTCGGACTTTTGGTGATAATAGGGCACAAGAGTCCGCACGGCCTGGAGATAGTTGACCACGAATCTGAGTGAGAAGGAAAAGGGCAAGAGTGACGGCTCCCATGGCAGACGTGGCGCAGCACAGGGACCGTCCAGAAGGTCAGAAAAGGCATCTCGGGTGGGTGAGCAAACCAGCCCAGGACTCTAAAGAGAAGCCTGTGGAGCGGTGCTCACTGAGAAGAAATGACATCTGCCAGGAAGGACCCAGTCTCCAGCTCACAGAGTGAACACCACCAACTGTTTCCGTGTGCACAGCATGACCCTTCACATCTCTGCCCAGTGGTCCAGCCTGTCTGTACAGTCATATCCACGGTACAGGACAAAGAGTCTACTCTATCTTTGGTCTCTAGATGTAGTATCAATTTCTTCAGCTTTTCTGCAATTCATGACAATCTTTTTTTTTCTTTTAAACTTAATCTCAACAACCAGAGTGCAATCTAAAAAGCACAAGGCTTTAACACTGTTGCTTTTCTACACATAAAACACCAGCAGCCTGCGCGTTTTCTGTTAGGCAATGCATGGATCAGAAAGAATTAAGAATAATTGCCTTTAAAGGTTAGCACATAACGTATAGTTGAACAAGATACAGTAAATACAAGGATCATATATTAAGGAAAGACGCCCACACCAACAACTTAAATACAAATTAAATCTCCAACATCAGAACAGAACTTAACTATCAAAAACTAACAGCAAAGCAAATGATTTTAAAATGCAAGAGTTCCTGAAAGGACGGAGAATACAGGGTCTGGAAGCCAGGCCTGGTGAGGCTGTCCTGTGGCAAATGACAGACATGCAATTCAAAGACAGCAGTCCTCGTCTTTAAAAATAAACAAGTAACAAGCCTCCTCCATTTGAAACGCGTTCCAAACGTTATTAAAAACCCTCTGAGCTAACTGGCGGGGCTGTCACTCAGTCCAGCACTGAGAAGCTGCCCTCCTGCCCTTTCCCTTCTCTCCAAAAGAGGAGCACATGGGACACAGGTCACATGGAGGCGCTCTCTTCTGGTCCGCAACACCTGCTCCATCTTTAAGCATTCAGCGGCTCGGTGAGGGCTTCAGCCCTGGCGTTGTTCTCAGGTTTTCTCAGCTGGCTCTCCTGCCGTCTCTCACACAGCATGACGACAAAGTCAGTTAGGAACACCAGACTTGCCAAAAAGCCAAACACCTATGGAGGAAAAGCAGAGTTACATGAGGAAGTGCGGGTTGTAACCACGTGTCCTACTCAGCCCGAAAGTTCATATCCGTTCTACCCTCTAATTACTTTTCAAAAGAAATGTTCATTTTTACTCTGTGTATGTATTTGTCTGTGGGAGCGAATGCCACATGTGTGTGGGTTCTTTTGGAGTCCTAAAGAGAACGCAGGGTCCCTTGGAGATGGGATAGCGCCACTGATATGGGTGCTAGGGACAAACTTTGGTCCTCTGGAGGAGCAGTGAGGGTTTGAGCTGTTAAGCCATCCTTCTCGCCCCATACTTAGTATTCTTTAACAGAATTTAAAAGTCATTGAACGAGGAAACGAAGTGACAAAAGAAAAACGTCCAGAGTAACAGGTACTACTCAGAGTCCCACAAGGTAACAACATAGCTTTTCTGTTGTGTGGTGCCAGGCACGGAACCCAGTGCTGCTGCAAGCTCAGCAAGCACGCTACCGGAGTTGCAGACCCGGTTCCGAGCTTAGGAGCTGCCATTGGAAGAGACGGCAGCCCAGGACAGACCGAGTCTCCACTGGGGGAGACGGCAGCCCAGGACAGACCGCGTCTCCACTGGGGGAGACGGCAGCCCAGGACAGACCGTGTCTCCACTGGAAGAGACGGCAGCCCAGGACAAACCGCTCCTCTCTCTCCTCTCTCTCCGAGGTACTGCAGAAGTCCCCAACCAAACCTCTACCCGACACCACCAAGCACATCTCATCTAGCAGCTACCCTCCACCACAAGGGATACTAAGAATTCCTATTAGCCTAGGACACACGAGGCTGGCATGAAGGCTGAACTTCAAGCTACACACCCCTTTCCCTTCCTAGCTGCTGTCTTTTAAGGCCTCTCCTGAAGAAAAGGAACAGCTGCCAAGAAGGGCCCACCTGACAGGTCTCAGACATTGGGGTCCGAGGAGACACGAATACCATAGAAAGACGGGGGCTCTGAGAAGAGTGGAGTTCTACAAGGCAGAGTGTGGGGGTCTCCTACAGGTTTCAGAAGTCAGTCCTCTGCCATGTGGGTGAACAACAGTCCATGGTATATGCTCAGAGTCAAGTTGTCCCTGACTCTTGTGTGGGGGTGGGGGAAAGGAACGGGAGAGCTGTGTGACCTTGAGGATGGGAAAGTAGGGGGTGGGGCTCCAAGAGAACAAACCTCTGGCCCAGACTGGCAGGTTGTTGCTCATATGGCATCCATTAAAAGACCACACATGTACTGGTCCTGGCCCTTCTGAATGGGTCGAAACTCCCCATCACACATCCAAGGCAGCTGACGTAGTAATGGATACCTTAAAGCAGTACCCAAATGTGGTCCCCCCGCCCCCATACAAATTGACGATGGCCCTGCACACACATCTAAAGTCAGAGCGGGAGCCTGCAAAGCCCGCCATGTGACCTGGAAGTCACAGGTGCTATACAGACCTCCACTGTCAAGTAGTGCGCAGAAGCACTGAACTAACCAGCAAAGGTGAATGCCTGGAGCAGCCCCGAGCTCCACGCAGCCTAAGTCCTTTCTGACTGGTACAGAGGCTCTGGTGTTAGGTGCTGCTCCCTTCCCCACACAGCCGCTCTCTCACACACCTGACATTCTAATGCACACTGCTAACAACGGTCTACCGAAGCCTCCCTCTGACTCACCACCTCTCCCCACCCTCCTGGGGAACAAATTCTACTTTAAAATCCTTACCTCTAAGCCCCACTAACCCTCTAGGCCCTTCTCACCCCATCTGCTGCTGAATTATTGGGTCTTAGCTTTTGAATTCATTTTTCTAGGTTAAAGCAGGCTCACAGAGTACAAACCAAACACCCTATGTTAAAACCAGACACCACCCCTGAGGGGTAGCCCTCACAGCTACCCCACCGCCACCCCACAGCTAGCCCTCTGACCTCCTGAAGGACCTCAAACTCATATTCAAAAATCAACCGGATGAGGCCATTTCTTCCCACAGCCCTACCTGCCTCTCTAACAAGGGAAAGAATTCCTTCAAACTCTCCTCACTGAGCGCTGGTGACTAGCCACACCATAATGATGTCGTTGCTGTCCCTGGCATAGCTGACTGCTGATTACAAAGGAGCTCTATGAACTTTCTAGATGAAACTGTTCTCTATTTATCCCTGGAACCTTGACCCACTCTCACAGCAACGAGCTCCTCCCCTTCCTTTACCCTTTCAGCGCCCGTGCCCGTGTGTCTCCATTAGAGAGGTGCTCCTCTTCCTCCTGTCCTGGTGCTCGTCTGCAGACTCACTCTGGTTCTAGACACTGCCATTCTGACAGAGGCCTTAGACTTACAGGATACCTATATCCAGAATATGTCCCAATTTTCCAAGCTTACAACTCAAGAATGCCCATTGTCAGGTACATCTACCACAATACTTCTTTGGTGGCCCATGTAGCCCTCTGCTTTACCAGACAAGACTCTTAAGGGGGCACCACGGCAGGACATCTAGATCCCTCACCCTGCAAGCTTACATTTCGCCGGCTGCAAGTAAAACAGTAATATTTTGTTTGTGGTTTAACAAATAAAGCCTGCCTGAAGATCAGAGTGCGGAGCTAAGCCACTAGTTAACCATAGAGGCCAGGCAGTGGTGGCACACACCTTTAGTTCCACCACTGGGAAGGTAGAGAAGGTGGTATGGCTGGGAGGAGAGAGGAATGTAAGCAGGAGGAGCAGGAGTGCATTACATTCAGCCTGAGGATTCGTGGAGACAGGATCTTACCCCTGTGGTCTGAGGATTTGGTAGAGGTAAAAGGTCTCTCTAGTGGCTGGCTCCTTTACTTCTCTAATCTTTCAGCATTTACCCCGAAATCTGGCTCTGGGTTTTTATTATTAAGACCAATTAGAATTCGCGCTACAACAGTCCTTTGACCCAGTCTCCCCATCCCACCCCCGACACTGGGCTGAATGTCTACCTCCTGACTCAGGGGCTAGCAAGTCACCATACTGACAGGGATGCCTAAAGCCACACAGCTTTCTCTTTCTATGGCTGCCTCAAGATGAAAAATCCTTCTAGCCATTAAGAAGGGCCCCCCCCTTGCCCGATGGTGGTGGTACATGCCTTCAATCCCAGCACTTGGTAGGCAGAGGCAGGTGGATCTCCATGAGTTTGAGACCAGTCTGTTCTACAGAGTTGGGCTGCTTGGGCTACCAAAGAAACCCTGTCTAAAAAGCAAAACAAAACAAAACAAAACCACACACACGCACACACACACACACACACACACACACACACACGATTTCCCCCCTTTACCCTACTATACACACACACACACACACACACACACACACACGATTTCCCCCCTTTACCCTACTATCCACAGACACATACACACACACACACACACACGATTTCCCCCCCCTTTATCCTACTATCCACAGACACTAACATTTCTTATTCTCTAGACGTGACAGCAGCAGGACCCCAGACAACATCTCAATCCCCTGGGCCTCTCCCCTCCACCTCAGTCTGAAAAGGCAAAACTTAGACCTGCTTCTTTAAGACCTGGCCACGTTAGGAGTCAAAGTAGCATGGAAGGGATCTAGACACACCACCCTGCAGCCTGCCAGCCCAAACTGGCCTTGAAGCAGCTACTTACTTACTTATCTATGTCCTACAAATCTCCACATTCCTCCAGTAGAGCCATATTTTACCTTAGAGCACCTCACCCCAAAACTTTAAAAGGAAGGTAACCCCTTTCCTGCCTTTTCAATGGATTCAAGGTCAAGTCCCTGTGGTGGTGGCCAGCATTACCAGCTGAAACGTCTCAGCTTCTGCTATACCTAACATGTATGCAGGAGGCTGTGTGGACTGTCGATCAATGAGACTCAGTTCAGTAGATAAATGAAATTCCACAAAATGGTATCAAACACATGATTATTACCAATGGCTTCACTGACCCAAAGATGTGATAAGGGAAACATGATTTGCAACTCAGGTTAGGTGGAGACCGATGAGGCTATTCATATCAAAACAAAAACCCCATTTTTTAAACACTACTGGGTTAAATGACCTAAAATCCATTTTCCAGTTACTTGTCACACTTAGTAACACGGGACATGACGTCACCACCTACTTCCTCTTCCCTAAATCACTTCCTCATTGTATTATTCTAACTAGGACCAAACATTCCGAGAATTCTGTCAAGAGACAAAAGACCATGCTTCAAATTTAGCTTCCTCACTAGCAAAAGCCTTGAGGAAGTGGAGACAAAACAGGAAGCAAACAGCATCAAATCTCTTGCAACTCCAGCCTCCTCCATGACTTTGTGCTGAATTGGGGGAGGGGAGGCAGGGGGAGTGTTGGCTTCCTAGGTAGCTGGTCTCAAACTCAATCTTCAGCCTGTTTCCAGGATGCTAGGACTGAAGGCAATTCCACACCTGGCTCACATTTCCATGATGATTGGTCATCTCTCAGAGTCTCTGACTTGGGTTCCTCAACCCCTCCTCTACCCCGGAGAACACACACGGTAAACTGGGCTCTGCACCATTCATTTCCTGGATGTGACCAGCACAGCCCACACAAACTAATTTATAAACTCTACCAAACGCAGCCCGTTCCCCTTTGGAGGCCTGACTGTATCTGTCCATCCCCTTACAAACCAGGCTGGCAGGGCGACTTCTGCAATTCTCTCAAGGCTTTCTTTTTAAAGATTTTACTTCTTTTTTTTTTTTTCTGTGTCTGAGTATTTTGCCTGTATGGGTGCCTGGTGCTACAGGGAGTCGGATCCCCCGGAATCATGGATAGTTTTGAGCTACCATGTGAGCACTGGACACTGAAGCTGGGTCTTCAGCAGAAGCAGCAAATGCTCCGTGCTGAGCCATCATTCAGCACGCTGAACACCTTTTGTATTGTTCTATCTTAAAATGTAGTTTCAGGGCTAAGGTGATAGCTTCATCAGTTAAATTCTTGCCTTGCAAGCATGAGCACCTGAATTCAAGCTCCTCAAACCCACATTTTAAAAAGGAGGCCATTGCCTGGTGGCACATGCCTTTAATCCTGGCACTTAGGAAGCAGAAGCAGGCAGATCTCTGAGTTCAAGGCCAGCTTGGGCTACAGAGCAACCTCTAGGAGAGCCAGAGCTACACAGAAAAGCCTTGTCTCGAAAACCCAAAAATAAATAAATAAATATGAAAATGAAAAAAAGGGGCCAAAAAGACGGCTTCATGGGTAAAGGTGCTTGCTGCTCTAAGCCTGACGACTTCAGCACGAGCCACATAAAGATGGAAGGAGAGAACTGACTCCCAAAAGTCTTCTGACCACTACATGCATGTTATGGCACACATACACACACACACACGTCGCATGACTAATAAAAACCCAGAGACAGACATTGGAGTTCAAGTTGAAGATTAGAAAAGCAAAGCAGCCAAGTCACTAGAGAGCTCTTACCTCTACCAAGGCTCAAACAAAAGGGCGATCCTGTCCTATGTGACTATAACTACAATGCTCTCTATCAAACCTCAGACTGCATGGAGACCACACTGAACTCCTGCCTTGAATTCCTCTCTAATGCTGGGATTAAAGACATGTCATCCCAAGTGCTGGGATCAGAGGTGTGAGCACAGTCTTTTAGACTGAGCCACTCTCACGTAGTCCAGGGTAGCCTTGAACTCACAGAGTGCTGGGATTACAGGTGTGGCCACCACTGCCTGTCCTCTATAACTAACTAGTGGCTTATAGATGTGTGGCTAACTAGTGGCTTAGTTCTTAACTAGTGGTTTAGCTCTGCACTCTGATCTTCAGGCAAGCTTTACTTATTAAAACACAAATAAAATGTCACTATACACAAATTTCAAAAGCTAGATGTTGTGATATGTATTTGCAATCCTAGTACTGAGGGAGTATAGAAAGATCCCCAGAACTTACTGACTGGCCAGCATAGCCTACTTGGCCAATTCCCAGGCCAGTAAGAGGCTGTCTCAAAATCCAAGGTTGCGAACTAGAGAGAAGGCTCAGCAGGTAAGAAGATCCACTGCTTCTGCAGAAGACCCAAGCTCAGGTCTCCGCTCCCATGCTGTGAGGCTGACAACCTCCTGTAACTCTGACTCTCAGGGGATCAGACACCTCTGACCTGAGGGCATCTGCACACACATGCACATACCCACACACAGTCTTACCATTGTTTAAATATTAAAAAGACTACCCATGTTGTCCTGATTCCACACACACACACACAAACTCACACACACTACACCCCAAGGCTTCCTAATGTGGTACTAGCTGGCAGCTCTACTGGCTGAACTTCCCCTTGTTCACAAGGCACTGGCACCTGCTGACTTGCAGGAAGACCTGCCAGCCTGTGCTCAGCCATTCACGTTCCCCACACTGCTACCAGTCAGTACCACCCACTGCCCTTCCTTCACAATTCTGACCCATAAAGCTACAAAACGCAGTTTTCCTTGGCTCAAAATTCACACACAAGCTATTTAGTCTTCACCTATAGAGGTTCGTGTGTCTCCCCTCATAAATACTCAGACTGGATCATAGGGTGCTACCCCAGGCTTTTGAAAAGTGTTGGATAATACGGGCATACAAAGATTACCTTTCTAAAATCTAGAATAATACAAATTAAAAAAAAAACCCACAAACTTGGAGCCAGGTGTAGTAGCACATGCCTCTAATTCCAGCACTCAGGAGGTAGAGGCTGGCACATCTCTGAGTTTGAGGCCAGCCTGGTCTACAGAGTGAGTTCCAGAACAGCCAGGACTACACAGTCTCCAAAAAACAACAAAACCCCCAACCCTTGGCCCAAAGGATTCAAATAACTAGCTCTTCACTGAACTACCCTTTGTTGTCTCAAAGGGTTTTAAACTCCAAGTGTCACACGGAAGCAAGTTTGGGACAGGCGAGTTGTTAGAGCGGGATGAGGTGACTGGCAGCGCCGTGACAGAGAATGTTAGAGCTGGTCAGACTCCAGAGAGAACCCGTCACGGTACCAGTTTGGTTTTTCAAGACAGGGTTTTCTGCAGCTTTGGAGCCTGCCCTGGAACCAGCTCTTGTAGACCAGGCTGGCCTAGAACTCACAGAGATCCGCCTGCTGGGATTAAAAGCGTGTGCCACAGCACTGCCCGGCTCCACAGTACTAGTTTTAAGAATGGTTGATAATGTCCAGCAGTGGTGGTGGTGCACACCTTTAATCCCAGCACTCAGGAGGCAGAGGCAGGCAGACCTCTGAGTTCGAGGCCAGTCTGGTCGACAGAGCAAGTTCCAGAACAGGCTCCAAAGCTACAAAGAAACTCTGTCTCGGGGGGGGGGGGGCTGAAAAGATGGCTCAGTGGGTAAGAGCACTGGCTGCTCTTCCAGAGGTCGTGAGTTCAATTCCCAGCAACCAAATGGTGGCTCACAACCATCTGTAATGAGGTCTGGTGCCCTCTTTTGGTGTGTGAGCATACATGGAGGCAGAATATTGTATACATAATAAATAAATCTTTAGGGGGCTGGAGAGATGGCTCAGAGGTTAAGAGCATTGCCTGCTCTTCCAAAGGTCCTGAGTTCAATTCCCAGCAACCACATGGTGGCTCACAACCATCTGTAATGAGGTCTGGTGCCCTCTTCTGGCATGCAGGCATACACATAGACAGAATATTGTATACATAATAAATAAATATTTTTTTAAAAAAATAAATAAATAAATCTTTAAAAAAAAGAAAGAAAAAAAAAAGAATACTTGCCTAGCATGTATGAGGCCCTAAATTCAATCCCTAGTATTGCAGCAAACAAGAAGAAGAAGATAAAGAAAGACAAAAAGAAAAGAAAAGAAAAACAAAAGGTAAAATAAGTACTCAAAGGAAACTGAAGAACAGATCTGCTTCTGTTGGTTCACTCAAACACTCTGTCACAACTTGCCTGGCTAACCCTGCAAGCCTTTTCTCCGGAGTGCCTCTGCACTAAAGCAGTACTAAAGGGCAGGAAAAAAAACCTGCATAACAAAGGCTCTTGCCACTTGCATTACCAGACACTTGTTTATATGTAGGATAAAGAAAACTTTGATAACAAAATTCAGTCAAATTCCAGGCAGGTTCCTAGGTTCTTAAGACTACCGTATTTGTTTACTTTTAGGTTTTCTATTCAATGTTACATTCAAAAGTAGGAGAAAAACTACTCTCAGGCTGGGGAGATGGCTCAGTGGGGTAAAGTGCTTGGCACACAAGCCTGAAGGTCCGAGTTCAGATCCCAGAATTCATGTTAAAGTCAGACACAGTATTAAAAGCAGATCCCAGAACACCTACAGGAAATGGAAAGTGGAAACTGAACATTCCAAGAAGCTAATGGGGCCAGGTGAGATGACTCATGCCCCTGATCCCAGCACTCAGATCTTGGAGTTCTAGGCCAGCCAGGGCTACACAGTGAGACCCTATCTCAAAAAGGAGGGGTGGGAACTAGTGGGCTGGTTGGCCTGGCTATACAGCAGTGAAAAGACTGTCTCAAGGAGAAAAGACAGGACCAACCTGAAGATCATCCCTTACCTCCACATAGATCATGGCACACAGGTGCCCACCACAGACAAACACACGCATCATGAATATAAAAAAGTAATAATTATTACTCTTATATCAAGAGTATATATATCTTATACTCTTATATATATATATATCTTATATAAGTATATATCTTATATCTTATCAAGAACTCTCTAAATTCTCTATTTCTTTTTTAATGATGTATTTATTTTTATTTTATGTGCATTAGTATTTTGTCTGCATGTATATCTGTATGAAGTTGTTGAATCTCCTGGAGCTGGAATTACAGACAGTTGTGAGCTGCCATGTGGGTGCTGGGAATTGAACCTGGGTTTTCTGGAAGAGCAGCCAGTGCTCTTAACTATGGAGTCATCTCTCCAGCCCCTAAATCCTCTATATCTGAGGACACAAAAATAAGGAAGGTTAAAAATGCAAAGTACTCACGATTGCAGCAATTTCAGCTGAGGTCCCAGCGTGGGTAGAAACAAAAATGATAGAGGCCAAAAGAAACACACACCCCGTTCCCAGGGTGATATAAAAATCCTACACGTACAGAGAAAACAAGAAGACAATAGGTTAGAAAAGCGGACACAAAGTTTAACATTTTGAATTTCAAAAACCCTTGAATGACTTACATGCTCTTGGTGCAACCCAAATTTAAACATGCCAGCCTGGTACCTTTTCAACAAGTCTATATGCAAACACTATCAACTTTAAGTTGAACATAATTGTGTATTACAAAATATTTTTTGAGACAGGGTCTCACCATGTATCCCTGGGTGGTCTGTACTCAATGTGGGAAACAGGCTGGCCTTGAACTCACAGAGATCTAATCACTTGCCTCTGCTTCCTTAGCACTAGGTGCATGTGCCACCATAACTAACTCATTTTCAGTTTTGAACTGGTTTTTCTTTTTCCTTTTTTTTGGTGGTTTTGTTTTTTTTTTTTTTTTTTTTTGGTATTACTGGGGAGTGAGCCTATGGCCTTGTGAATGCTCAGCAAACACTACTACTGAGCTCAACTTCTGTCTGGTAGTTTTATGCTTATTTCTCATAAGTTCTCATGTAGGCCAGAACAGCCAAGAACTGATCCTCCTGCCTCCACCTTCTAAGTGCTGGGATTACTATGTGTATCTAGAACAACATCTTGAGATAGAAAAATGCACTACCGGGGCTGGGGAGAAGTCTCAAGTTAAAAGGACCGGCTGCTCTCCCAGAGGACCCTTGTTTGTTCAGGTCCCAGCACACCCATGGGGGCTTAAAATCATCTGTAAGTCCAGTTCCAGGGAATCTGTCACCCTCTTCTGACCTCCACGGGTACCAGGTATGCACAGAGTATATAGACATACATGCAGACAAATATATACACAAAATAAATATTTTTAAAGATTTATTTATTTTATGTGCATTGGTGTTTTGCCAACATGTATGTCTGTATAAGGATGTCAGATCCTCTAGAACTGGAATTACAAACAGGTGTGAGCTGCCATATGGGTGCTGGGAATTGAACCCAGGTTCTTTGGAAGAGCAGCCAGTGCTCTTAACCACTGAGCCATCTCTCCAGCCTCAAATTTTTTTTTAAAAAGAAAGATGCAGTATTCTATAAACATAGCTTCTAAAGTCAGACAACTTCAGTTCAAATCCAAGCTATACCACTTTCTAATCATGTAACTTCTTGTTTGTTTCTTTTTTGTTCAGTTTTTGCTGTTGTTTTTCAAGACAGGGCTTTTCTATATAGCCCTGGCTGTCCTAGAACTAGCTCTGTAGACCAGGCTGGCCTCGAACTCACAAAAATCCACCCACCTCTGCCTCCCAAGTGCTGGGATTAAAGACATGTGCCACTACTGCCAGCTTCTTGTTTGTTTCTTATGATTAGTGTTAGGGGGCTGTGAGGGGAACATGCAAGTGCCATTGCCTGTGTGTGGAGAACAGAGGGCAGACAACCTTGTAGGGTAAATTCTCTCTCGCATCTGAGTGCTGGGATTACAGACATGTAAGACCACACCAATTCATAGAATTCAGGCTTCAGTGCAAACCAAGTAAGTATTCTACCAAATGAATTATATCCCAGTTAGTTTGGGGCAGGTTTTTTGCTGTTGTTGTTTTGCATGTGTCTGTGTGCATATGTTGAGGTGGAGGTGGATGTCGGCATCTTTCCCAGGTATCCTCCACCTATTGTCAAGACAGCATCTCTCACTGGACACAGAGCTCACTGGCTTAGCTGGTCCAGTCTCTGCCTCCAGCACTGGGGATCCAGCATCCAGTACTAAAATAAAAGGTGTGGCCATGTGTTAGGTGTGAAGGACCCAAATTCCTGCCGAGCCATCTTCCCAGCCCCCTTCCCCGACCTTTTTAAGATAACAGATTCCTATAGCATAAAATTTGTGAGGTACAAAAAGGAATACAGTTTAAATAGTTCTCCAGCGCCAAAGACAGAAAAAAGTATATTAAGAATGTGATCAATTCCTGACCTTATGTCAACATCCCATCAATTTAAAATACAAGAATCATATGGCTTTCTTTTTACACTGCTCTCTCTTATTAATGATTAAAAATGTACTGAACTTTTTTATCCTTCCCTTGCAGATGTTAATTCTTTAATTATGTCACTACTGACAACACATTCTCCACAAGTCACTACTGACAACCCAAATGCTACCTAAGAAGTCAACTGTGCCAAGTGTTCCCTAAATTAAGGGGATAAATGAATTATTCATCTGTTAGCCCTCAAATCTAAACTCTCTGAAAATACCATGGGTCAGCAGAGTACAGCAAGCCAAGCACCTCTCATGTGAAAATGAAGCTTTCCCAGCACTATAAGGAAACATGCTTTGTTTCTTTTTTCTTTTCTTTGTCTTTTTTTTTTTTTTTTGTCTTGTTTTGTTTGCTTGCTTGCTTGCTTGCTTGCATTAGACAGAGTCTTTCCATATAGCTGTCCTGGAACTCACTCTGTTGACCAGACTGGTCTTGAACTCACAGAGATCCTCTGCCTCCCGAGTGCTGGGATTAATGGCGTGCGCCACCGTGCCTGGCCTGGTAAGCATCTTACCAGTGAACCAACAAATACATTCCTTATTCACCTAAAGACAACTTCTATTTTATTTTATTTTATTTTAAATAAAATGAAAGTCAAATACTGACAGAATCCCATGCTGCTTTGCTTAGCTGTAGTGTTCATGCTATCTACCACTGTGTGTCCAGTACACAGTGTCTGGCAGGGTACAGGCACACAATTCCTAACTACACAGCCAATAAATGACACTCTAAAATGTAAGAAACAAAAAGTGGCAAAACCAAACCTCTTAAAAAATGTTTAAATAAGGCATGGTGGCCCAAGTCTACAATGCCAGCACTCAGAAGCTGAGGCAGGAGAATCACAGGTTCAAGGCCAGTCTGGGTTGTAAGACCCTGTGTTAAAGCAAACAACACTGAAATGTCTACTGTGAATTAGGTGAAGCCTCTCCCTCTCATTCTGGACTCATTTCCTGTCTCCCTCAGTGAAGTGGCGCCCGCGTTGCTAGGATGCAGAGAGCTAGAACATGGACATCACTCTTCCCAGTACTTTGCTCTGAAAGCATCACCGCTGTACCAATAACCCAGGACGCCTGCCAGACGTGCACCCTGACTCGGACTGTCTTCCCCACTTACCGACGACTTGACTTTCCCAGCATCCACTCTGTCATGCACTGGTGTGCAGTACACGATCAGCAGGACGAGGCTCAGGAGAAAGGCGCTGCAGCTCACAAACTCAAAGAAGTACAAGCCTCCGCACAACGTGCATTCGGACACAACCTCTTCACAGATGAAGGCCAGCAAAGACAGCAGCTACAAAAGGAAACCAACTGACCTCAGTGATTCAGAGAACCCATGACACTCAAAACTACACGCAGGCTGTGCCTGGTGGCATGGGCCCATAAACCCAGACCTGTGGGAGGGTGACGCAGGAGGATCCAAAGTTCAAGGCTGTGAGACCACCCCTCCTAAGAAAAATTAAACCCACTATTTGTTTATTCAAATATTTATAAAGTAGAGACTGGGGCAAACAAGATTAGCAAACAAACTTGATTAACAGAACTGACAGTCTGCTTGCCTTAAAGGGATACCCAATTAACTACTGTGTGTCAGACAGACTCAATGATAACAGCCCCCCCCCCCACAAAAAAGAAGGACTTCCAGAAGGAGAGAAAGCTGAGAGCCACACTGCACAGCAAACTTTTTTTTTAATGTGCTGTAACAAAGGAATCAGGGAGAGAGGTAGGCAGAGGCATAGTTGGAGGCAAATGGTGAGGCAGTCTAGCGCGCAGGGGAAGTGTGCCTGCATACAGACTGTGGGAGGCAGCCAAGCAAGAGGTCTGAGAGATCTCCAGGAGAGGGGGCAGTCTTCCTGCACGGCAACTGTGAAGAGTGCAAAGCACAGAACCCAGCAAGAGCTGTGAGAAACAGCAGCCCATGGGTTCTGAGCTGAGAGCAAGCATGCCCAGCAGGTGGCGAGCATTCTACTGGTTTGCAGAGGGCAAGAACCTGCATTAGCCGCACAAAAGAGCGCTGACCAACGGCTATATCACTGACAGTTGGCAAGAAAGCTCTCTCGCCTGGCAGAGAAGTCAGATAACTCTGTACTTGTGGGTGGGGAGATAGGACAGTAGACTAGAAAAGCAGAGTCAAGTCAGGGTGCAGGGGACGAGGGCACAGGAAGGGAAGTTCAAGATGAAAACACTAAGCACTTTTAACTGCCTTACAGAAACCATGTGCTGGGAGGGCCTGGAGACAGGCAGGGCGCAGCTCAGTGCGGGAGGAGCAGGCGCTCAGGGGTTAACTCTTCAGAAGTGGAAGAAGGCTGACTGCTCACGAGCAGATTTTGAGAAAGCTTGGGGAATGATCTTCTGAGTGCCCAAACCATCAAAAGGACTGATGACCCAAAGTGAAAAGCCAAGGGGAATTCCACCTCACCCCAGGGAGAGCAGGAGAAACAGACACAGGAGTAACACACACTGCTACAAAAAAAAAAAAATCAACAAAGCAGACCAGAGTGCTGGTACACACCTATAAATCCAGCACTCAGGATCCACTGGAGTTCAGGGCCAGCCTGGGCTACAATGTGAGACCTTGTCTCAAAAAATCACCTAGGAGCTAGGAATGTAGCTGAGTGGTAGAATGCATGTCTGGCATTCAGGAGGCCGTGGGTACAATTCCCAGCCCTGGAAAAAAAAAAAAAAAACAGACAAGAAACAGGGAAGCTTGGAAAATACAATAAAAATAAAAATCAAGAGCTACATCTCACAGTGGACAGTGAACGGCTCATCCACACTTGTTTTCTTTTTTTCTTTTTGGCACAAGATTTCCCTGTAGCTCTGGTTGTCCTGGAACTTGCTCTGTAGCCCAGGCTGGCCTCGAACTCACAGATATCCACCTACCTCTGTCTCCCGAGTGCTGGGATTAAAGGCGTGCGCCACCACTGCCCAGCTGCTCACCCACACTTTCTTAGCCATGTCAACAGACCAGCACTAGGGAAACTAGCAGCTTCTTCAAAGCTAAGCATCCTGGGTACTCCTTAAGGTAGTACCTTAAGATAAAGCAAGTATAGGAACATCAGCAACTTTATTCATATGGCCCCAAACTAGACACAATGCAGGTGCCTTCATCAGCTAAAGGAAGCTGAGGTACAAAATGTCCAGCTTAGATCAATCTCCAGATAACTGTACAAAGTATAAAAATTCAATCTCAGCAGCTGGGAGAGGCTATAGCTCGGTTGGCAGAGTGCACACCTACCAAGTGTGAAGCCCTTCGTTCACTACCCAACACTAGCAAATTAATTAGTTAATTTGTAGTGGCATTCCATTTGTATTTTAATAAATAAAGTTTGCCTAAAGATCAGAGAGTAAAACAGTCCCACTGGTCAGCTTTACAGACCAGGGAAAGGTGACACACACCTTTAATCCCAGTAGCCACACTAATTTGCCATCGACACCAGGAGGTGCATGCCTTTAATCCCAACCCTAGAGAGGAATATAAAACGGGCAGAGACAGCTCTCAGACACAGTCTCATTCTGAGATTCCTTGAGGCAGATTCGCCATTTCGGACTGATGTCAAGGTAAGAATTAGTAGCTGGCTGCTTTGCTTTTTGTAGCTTCAAGTTGAACCACAATTTCACTCTCTGAATTTTTATTAATCGTGCTTCATTAATTTAATTGACTCAACCTTAAAAGGTTATAGCTAGGAGCCTGGAGAGATGGCTCTGCCAGTCCTGGTCAGCGCTCAATCTCAGAACTCAAAGAGTAGAAGAGAACCAATACTCAAGAGCTATCCTCTGACTTTCACATGTGCACCATGGCATACACTCCTACACACACACACACACACACACACACACACACACACACGGAGTAATCTCAGCCTTTGGAGGTCAAGAATCAAGAGTTCAAGGACAGCTTTGGCCTATAAGAGATTCTGTCTCAAAAAACAAGTCATATCAAAAAAAAAAAAAAAATAAAAAAAAAAGGCCAGGTGGTGGTAGTGCAAGCCTCTAATCCCAGCATTTGGGAGACCAACCTGGTCTACAAAGTGAGTTCCAGGACAACCAGGCCTACACAGAGAAACCCTGTTTCTAAAAAAAAAAAAAAAAAAAAAAAAAAAAATTAAAATAATAAATAAAAATAAAAGGTAAACAGAAAAAAACAGTCCAGTCAAATACAAAGTAGTATATAATCTTCTAAGGCGGTGGTTCTCAACCCCCCTAATGCTGTGACCCTTTAATACAGTTCCTCATGTATGTAATGACCAACCATAAAGTTATTTTCATTGCTACTTCAAAACTGTGATTTTGCTACTGTTCTGAATCATAATGTAATATCTGTGTTTTCTGATAGTCTCAGGCTACCCCTGTGAAAGGGTCATTCAATCCCCAAAAGGGGCTACAGGCCACAGGTTGAGAACCACTGTTCCAGGGAAACTTCCCACCTCACGACTAGAAAGGTTTTATGCCAGAACAAAAGTAGACCTGTTTCCTGTGAAGTTAACCAGACATAAAGTAGACCCCCATCCTGAACGTCAATGGAGGCACCCCTGCCATTACATCACAGGATAAGGACTGACACACAGACACAAATGACACAAAACTGTTTCCTTCACCTCCTGTGTGGGTAGCAACAGTATGAACTTTTAGGATGAGAGTCCAATGTGAATTCTAAACGTATAAGGGTCTACTTGCTGTATAATTACATGTTAAAGTTTATCCAAATTTAAGAGTCTAGGAAATGTCTGAAAAACATAGCTACATGGGACTGGAAAGATAGCTCAGCAGTTAAGAGCCATCTGACTGCTCTTTCAGAGGTTCCAGGTTCAATTCCCAGCAACTACACGGCAGCTCACAACTATCTGTAACTCCAGGTCCGGGGATTCAACACTCCTTTCTGGTGGCCCTGGGTACCAAGCATGCATAAAGTACAGACACATATGCAGACAAAAACCTCATATACATAAAATAAAAATACACCTATGTGTATGAAAGTCGGTTGAAGTCAGCTGTGGCGGGCACTCCTGTAATCCCAGCACCTGAGAAGCAGAGGCAAAAAGATCAAGAGTTCAAGGCAATTCCTGGTTAGCGGTCCCAGATGACTGTGAGAAAACTCTCAACTGAGGATTCTGTCTGACTGCTCCTGACCCCTCCTGTGAGACCTGTAGACAGTGCCGCCTGGCCTGCAGCAGACACTGACTGCCTGTCTGGGAAGAAGGGCAGGACTGCTCCCCAGAAGCAGAGGGTCCCAGGCCACCAGTAGCCCTGCTCTATGTATTAACAAGAGTCATTCGTACCTATCAAGAGGCAGGCTCTACCTGGCCATCCTAGCAGAAGAAAGGGGTGTTCAGGCTGAACACTTAGTTCTGATCTCTAGGTTTTAAAGGCCAAGATCTTTGCATCACACACTACTGTCAATGTAAAGCTTGTTCCTCCCTCAACGGTTCTTTTATAATCACCCTCGGCATGATGCCCGCTCCAGCGCGGAGTGGGCTTTAAGATCAGGCAACAATGGGTGTGTATGAGCATGTCAAGATGGAGCAACACGAGCGATGCACAGGAAACAATGAGCAGCAGAGCTTCACACCACACAGCTGGGCAGTCCTCGTGAAGTGGAGAAAATATCAGGGGAACGCCCAGAGTAGCCAGAGAAGGGTGGATGGACACATGGGCAGGAGAGGACATTCCCAGTCGAGGGAGCAAGGACAGACTCAGGAGGGCAAGAACCTGCCCGGTGAGTTCAAAGGGTACTGACCTAACTGGATGGGAATGGTAAGAAATTCAAAAGGAATGGGCGTGGCTATGTGATGGGGAACGCAGGAGTCTGGGGATTAAGGAAGTTCCCCAGTTCAAGAGTAGGAGGTAAAGTGGGTGGTGGTGGTACACATCTTCAGTCCCAGCAGAGGCAGAAAGAAGCAGGGGAGTTCAAGGCCAGCCTAGTCTACAAAGAGAGTCCGAGACAGCCAGGGTTGATACATAGAGAACTCTCTGGAAGAACCAGAGGGGGTGCGGGGTGTAACGAGCTGAAGAGAACGGAATAAGTAAGTCAGGATATATTGCTTTTCTTTTCTTTTCAAATAAAAAGGGAAACTTTTAAAGCAAGTAAAAATACTCCAAACAATTTATCCAACAGTGATACCTAGGAATGAGTCAGATGGGGGTGTTTTAATCATATTTTAGTAGTTTTAGTAAACAGATACTTTCTGTATTAAGTAAAGAAAAAGAATGTGCTCAATAAGAGAAGGAAGAATTTCAAGAAACAGCGGTCACCAGCATTTCACAAGTGGTCAAGGGCAGGAAGCAAAAGTCCCA